ATATATGAATGATTGCTGCTGTTGTACTGAATTAGACTACATCCTGATGTGATGGGCAAGGGAATAAATCTTTATTTTTTTCTGGTGCATATTTCTAAAATATAAGACTCTTGTTGCAGTCAGGAAAACGGTTCTCACTCCCATGCCTTTCTCTCTGACTTCAAATCTCTTCTAAAACTACAAAGTAAATTATTTAATAATTTTGAACAAAACCTCTGGCCCTGTCCAGAGTGTCTCACTTTATGTGGACCTATTTTTTTTTCCTATCAATTCATCAATTAAATTCATTTTTTTCCACTTCTCTAATTCAGGTCATGAAGAAGTTAAAACCAAAAGACATTTAAGCTGACTCTGTTTCTTTCTGTTTCAGGTACCTCAGGATCTAGTTTAAGAAGAGTCATTGTAGTCACTGTCATTATAGCAGCAGCAGTAGCCTTCATAATTTATACATACAAAAAAGGTAAACAATCTCACTTTACTTCCCTGAAATTTATTTTGAAATTCTATTGATTATGATGTTTTCTGGACTCAATTCCTCAAAGAAACAAGAACCACGACGTACAGACAAAGAAACTTATGTTTTTTTATTTGATTTGGTTTTTTATGGGACTGTTTTTGTTTTTTGTTTTTTTAAAATCCATCCATCCTGAGAGATTGGAGCTAAATGCCTCTTTCTGTTTCTTTCAGTTTTAGAATTTTTCGCCGTTATTGTAGCAACTTTGTTTGTTGCTATTATGTTTAAACTACTAGCAGCAGTGGTCGTTAAGATGTATGGACGAGGAAGAGGTAAATGACTTTTTTTTTCATCACTTTGCAATTCATTTTGTTCAAGTCATTTCAACTGATTATGATGTTTCCTGGACCCGATTCCTTAGAACAGTGGTTCTCAAAGTTTTTACATCAGTCCCCACATTGCAGGAATAAATATTTTCACACCCCATCAAAACCAAACAGATGGACAGAAAAGCCTAGCTGCAACTTTATTTAGATAGTAAATTCATTCACAATAAATCCTTCAGTAATTTTTGTTTTAAACACACAACTTTCATTTCAAATAACTATTTATAACTTTTATCACTAGACTGCTTCATTAGTCTGCACCAATTCTTTAAAAAAGCAATATAAATAAATAAATGTTCACTTAAACACGCGGCTGCAGCTTTTCAGCGGATGTGCAATTTTAATGTAACTGACACAATTTTTTTTTTTCCGCCGTAAACGTGAATCCAATGTTAAACATTTGTTCCGCATGACGCTTCTGCCAGGTAAAATGCCCCCCACCTGTCAGAACTCTGCGCCCAACCTGTGGGGTGCGCTACACACTTTCATAATCACTGCCCCAGAGCATCGAGAACAACAACGAAGAGACAGCAAAAAGGATACGTGAGTAAATCTTGTATGAACTACACCAAAAAATGAACTTGTTTGAAAACAGTATGATTATGAAGATACAACCAGATGTCTATAATCAGTCTAATGTAACTGCTGTTTAGTCAAAAATGTTTTAATAGTGTGTCAGAGTGAAGCATCGTTCAACAACATGCATGACAGAATATTTTATTAATTTCTAAGGAAATTATGTAAGATGAGGCAAATTCAGATTGATGTGGTGTTTATTTTGGACTGTAGAAGATTTCTCTTTGTTTGAACAACTGTATTCATTATAATTAATTTTTTTAATATTATTGACAGTGCTAAACTTCAGCTAATAGGAAATGGAAGCTCTAAAACCATCCAAGCACGCCCCGGTAAACGCACTGCTTTGGTCCGGTGTGTAGTTCTGTGACTGCAGTGAAGACGTCGATCCCTCTGAACTCTGCTGAGTTTTGGCTCTCTGCTCAGTAAAGCACAAACTTTCATAAGTGAAAAACCTGCTGATGACGACCTTCAAATCAGTGACTTGGAGCCATCAAAAACTGAAACGTGCACGTACCCAGGGCCGTGCAGAGATGTTTAAAGGGGCGGTGCTCAAAGTTAAAAAGGGGCATATAGAACCAGGCTGAATAACAACAACACACATTCATCTTTTTGTCGCCTGTCCGGTTTGCCATCAGAATTATTGTCTAAAGGCAAAGAAAGACATACATTCATCAAGAATCTAATATGCAATCGCATCATACTATATCATTGTCGTCAGGTAGCAACAGTGCAGCACAAACCTAACCTATGTTTTACCTGATGGGGTGCAATGTTGCTGTTGCTCCTGCTGTTCCTGCTGCTGATAGTGCTGAGGGCAGAGCTGTGTTGATCTGAGACAGCACTTGGAATCATAAGGCAACAAACTGAGAAATAAACAAGGCTCTACTTGTGACTCTTTGCCTCTCTTCCTCCTTCCAGCTCGTCAACACTCTCCATTTGCTGTCCAACGGAGAATAAGGCACAATTTGCTATTGCATTAATCTGTTATTTAATTATCCACACTTAACAACTCTTGCACTTAATTCATAATAAAGTTATAACAAAACAACGCTATAGAACCAAAACTTTCCAAATATGTTTATTATTATTTTATACTTGAATACCTCTGAAACAACTGGTACACGTATGTTACCTGTGCTCCTTGTAATCCAGCTGCTGAGGGATCCACTGCCTTTAGTAGCCTCACACAGCTCCCACTGTTTCCTCCTCATGTCCTTACCTTAATCAACTGAGGTGAATGTTAGCAAATTTACCTGCAGCAAATATTATATCAGACTCCCTTTGCAGACGATTATTTTTTGCAGCTTTTGTAACCAGATGAGCTGCTGGAAGAACCTGTGTGTTTTTTGTCTTTTTTGATTGATTTTGGTTCTTGACTTTCTTGACTTTGTGTTTTGTTTTGTTTTTAAGTTGACACTGTTCATTATTTTAGACATTTTAACATCAAAATAAGTGCTCATTCTTGTGCTTGTGTTTATGTGGCATTTAGACTCTTACTGTATTCTTCATACAGTTGGGCAATATAATCAATCAAAAATGACAGTCGGATGAAAACAGTGTTTTCACTTGTCCCATAAGAATCTTGTTTGGTTAATCCACAAATCTGTGTTTGTACGAGCCAGGGCTCAAAGCAAAGAGAAGATCATGTG